AGACCTGCTTGTTTGTGTCTTGACGTTTTTGACACAAAGATGGTACTGTTGCTGGGGAAGGAAATGAAATCTCAGTGTGACATAGGCTGGACGTGACCTGAAGTTGTTTTTGCAGCAGCAAAGTTGACCCCGAAGGTTCAGGAATATTCCAATACAATTTGGGATAATGAGACATCTCCAAAGCAAGGAGACACATGTCCCCAGAGGACTGCAAAACTCAGGGTGAGCTTGGTGGAGAGCAGCTGGATGAGGGAAGATTGTTGCTCAGCTGACAGTGATTTGGAGCTGGCTGCAAAGGGATGGCTGGGCTGGACATTGGTGGAGATATCTGAGACAGACAACATGCTCAGCATGGATTTAGGGATAATTGGATCCATCCAGCATGTTACACTGAGAGGGATTTCAAGGGCCTCTTAGAGGTCCCTTAGCACATCTCTTGGGTTGCCAGTCTGCATTCTGTTGTTCATTATGCCCTCTTTGAAGTCCCCAAATCCCTATGATTTCATGCTCAATTTACTGCTTTTTTCCCAGGCCAATATTGTCTTCAGCAAAGCTCCATTTCTGTAGGTTTTAGTTTGGTGGTTCAAGCCCTGCCATCATCCTCCAGCGTGGCACGACCAGAGGCTGCTGAGGAGGGGCAGGAAGATCCTCCCCACGCATCCCTCTGGTCCAGGGAAGGTTCCTTCAAGGACCTTGTGCCCTCCTGCTGCCCTGACCTTCTGCTCCAGTCCCACCCAGTATAACCCCACTTGGGGTACTGCTGGTAATGAAACCAGCCCTTTCTTTGCAGCCTTTCAGCAGCAGTTGGACAGGGAGGGAAGTGGGTGTTTTTATTGCTGGTGAGTGCTGGGGGAAACCAAGGAGCAGAGAGCTGGAGTGACTCATTTCAAGTTATGCAGTAAATAAGTGGCACAGTTGGGAAAAACCTGGGGTCTCCAGAATCCCTGCTCACCCCACCAGATCAAGCTGCCTGTGGAATGTTTACTAAAGAGACTGGAGTCTGGTTTTACTTTATTTTTAATTTTTAGGCTCTTCCTTCTTCAGGCTGTTCTGCCTGTTCCACAGTGGCCAGTGTTTAAACAGCACTAGCAGGAAATGTTTTTGAAATGTGCTTTAAAAAACACAGGCCTGCTAATATGTTCTTTTTATTCCCCATTTAGACAGAGGCTTAGGAGTCACAAAGAATGAATCTCTTGTCAGTAGGAGTAAGTTAGGTGGCAGTTTGTTTTGGAGGTGTCCTTGTAATTGCTGAAGGCAGGGCTGATCCACATGCTGGGCACTGGGGGGGTCACTTCTGGTCCTCAGAGTAGAAAAAGGCTTTACAGTAAATGATATTCTGTACACTCACAGCTGCTCTCAAAGCCAAGGGTCTGAGCTGGACTCCTTGCTTCTGAAAAGCTTTGCTTTGACATGAGATACAGCTCCAGTGGAAATTATGGAGCTGATGCAGAAATTATTGGGTGAGGTTTTCTGGACTGAGTTATCCTGGATAACAAAGCTAGATGATGCTAAGTGTCCCTTTGGGTCTTGAAAGCTATAAATCTTTGTGGATATCTCCAAACTTAAATTGGCATGTGGGGTTCTGTGGAAGTGTTTTTTTCATTCTGTGTGTCGTGAGCCAGGGCTTGGCTTGGGATGATGGAGCCATTGGAGGATGCTCCACGTGTCACATGAGGGTTGGGAAGGACAGCAGCACTGGTGTGACTTGCTCCAGTCACTGCCTCAGTCCTGGGCAGGCAGAGGGGGAAAACACTATCCCAAGAGAGAAATGCCATCTTGGAAAGGTCAGGAGCAACATCCTGGTCTTTGGCTGCAGGGAGGTTCAACCCTGTGTTGCTCTCTGGGCTGAGGCAGAAAGCCTGTTACTGAGGGTGTGTGGTGGTGAAACCTCCCCACTCTGGGGCATTTTGGTACTTGGTGGGTTCCCCCCCAGATAAGGCCATGGAGCAACATGAGGCAATTTGGTATGGGCATCAAAAAGCAGCATTCCAGGGCACTGAGGCACCCCTTGATGCTCCCAGCTCCTGCTCTCCCTGCAGTCGACGGTGGAGCTGGGGATGATCAGTCACCTCCTTGCAGCCCAATACGTCTGTACTTGGGTTGTGGCCCAAAAGGGGGTGATACCAGAACTGCAGAATTTAGCAAGTTCTGGGCATATACAACTGGTGGAAAAGTACCAGAATATTTCAGCATCTGAGTTGGGCTGAAATACAAAAGCACCTGACAAAAGTCTGTTCTCTCGGACCCTACAAACAGGGACTCCCAGGGAGACTCTTTGAGCACTCCTGGATTGCAGGGGGTTGTCACCAGCACGTCCCCTGAGCTGGGACACTTCTCAGGCACAGAGTCCTGGAGGACAGTCAGCCGACAGAGCTGACCAAGGGCAAGTTCATCCTCCTCAAGCCTCAGTTATCACCCCTTGAGGAATTCTGCTGCATTGTATTTACTCCCTACTGGAAGAGGGACATTTAAACCACAGGCTGGTTCTACCCCCCACCTCTGTACCTGTCTATGTGTTTGAATACACACACTTGCATTCAGGAGAGTGGGTCTCTGTATTTCACTGGGCCCAAATATTTCTGCCTGTGTGTGTTTGTATATTTTGTGGTTATGTACCTATATAGTTTAGTTTAGGATACCTTGTAGTAAATATGTGGCATTCCCAAATCTGGAATTAAATCTCTCTTTTAATAATAGCATATTCTGCTGA